AAATACTACAATATTGTATGCATTGAAAAACACGTTTTGAAAAAAATAAATAATTTACCTTGATTCTCGAAAGATAAAGAGTGATCATGCATCTTTCAGGCAACAATAACAGCTTGATGGTGGACCCGTCAATAACAGATTCGACAATAGCCTTCATACGTTTTTTAGAATTTTTCTCTAAGAATGCATCAACATCAACAATCGAATTATTTTTCTTTGCAGWGTTCTAGATAAGAGAAAAATATTTTATGAWTGGAAAACACACATTTTATGTTTAGGTACAGTTACAAAATCAGGTATAGATGTAATTAACTCAATGGAACAACAAGCCTATTTTGTCTGAYTGCAGTTCAGCGAAAACTAATCACCACTGACTACGTTTCTTAAATTGAACAAAGTATAAAATAATTATCTTCAAACCAAGTGTATAACTCGTTTGATATAAAATACTACATATATTAGTTATTTTAGAAGCCGCCCACCGGGAAAACATCCGAATTCCCAGTAGTGGCCCAATTCACGCGACAATTTTATTTAGATATTTGCTTGTACAACAATTTGAAATTTTATAAATTTATAAATTGAATTAATAAATAAATAATAAAAAAATTACCTTTGCATAAGGGTCCCATTTTCCAACCTTAGATGCCTTGGCCTTTTTCTGAAGACCAACTAGGGCTTGAACTTCCGGATTTGGATTATTTGACTTTAAATTTTTAACAGTTACTAAACCATTTTCAACAAGCTCATAAACAACATTGTCCTCTAAATATATAAAATGTKTGATTAATTATTAAATATAATTATTATTAATATTTTATATAATTCAACATTGAAAAGTAAATTWTCTTACCCAATGTTGGATAAAATATGTCACCATAGTTTCGAATTGTTTTTCCATCACTAGATACTTTAGTTATAGTTTTAAAAAATACTTTTTTTCCAACAAGCTTTTTACGAAGGAACTCACGAGCTTCCCAAGAAAATGGCTCATCTACAGTATCTTTAGATGTTGGATTATTTTTCTTTCTACAAATGATAAAAACAAAATATAATATATAACTCAAGTTTATACAAATGTTTACAGACAMAATATTTTATTTTTAATATTGAAAACTCTTAAAAACTGACAACAATATA